CCGCCGCCGGGGCGGCGCGGAGGCACCGCGGGGCCGAGGTGCGCGCCCGCCGCCGCTCTTCTCTTACTAATTATTATTATTATTTATTTGCGCCGGGAGAAGGCGGTTGCAGGAGCCGGGTGTTGCTAAGCATTTCCCGAGGTCTGTCCATCGATGTTGCACTCGGCAGCGAGGGTCTGCGTGGGTGGTTTTGGGGCAGGTGGTTGGTTTTTTTCAGTGAAGTACTTGAGGTCTGTGGAGATTTCGAAATTAGGGAAATTCCTGTTTACAGAAAGATTCAACTTTATTTTCATGGGGGATATAAAAAGTGTGTTTCCTAATACACCTTACTGAACTGTATAGCAATGGATAAGCTTTTCAAACTTAAAAAAAAAAAAAAAAAGCCAGAATCGTACCCTTTTGAAAAGATGTGCGTGTATATATATATTTAAAACACAATATGGCTATGTATATTTTCTTGGTATTGATAAAGAACTTTTTTTAAAATACTGTCTTTCTCTAGAGCTTTAATTTGCCATTGAGAGTTAAGACAACTGTGTGGGTGCTCTTGCACTTAGACGGCTTCAGTTTTAAAATCGAACCCTGGAGGGAAATGATTTTTGTAGTAAATCTTAAGCAGGATGAAATACATTGCTGACTCAGTCATATGAAAATACTTTTCTAAACTGTACACTCCATATTTCTTGTGCCAGTGCAAACTTGGGGCATTGATAGTTATTTATTGAAACTTGAACACTTTTGGACGTTGCCTAGACCTTATTTTTCTAGATAACACGTTAGTAGTGAAAACGGTTACTTTGGCAAGAAGAGCTTTACTTTTTTTTCCTTCACTGTGTACATTCCAGTAGTATTTGCTCTTTATATAGTATAGTAACAATACAGTGCTATACAGAAAAGGGCTAAGATTTGGGGTGGGTTAGCTATAAAGGTGGTAATTCCATTGTATTCTGTTTGAATAAATCGCAGAAATATTACAGAGAAGTAGATTTATTTTTCAGTAGAAATCTGTGTATCTTGCTTCTTGGTCTACTTTGTTCTAAAGAAACTTTCTGCAATACTCTAGGGACAGAAAGAGTCAGCACTAGAATGTGAAACGTTTTTCTAGTTGGGAAGAATTGGTGTGATTTATTTCTTTGTCGAGATTTTACTAGCAGAAGGGAATGGCAGAGAAACTATTTCCTCTGATTTGACATAATCCTCAATAAGTTTTTGAAAGCTTTAGATCCCTTGCTCGGCACTACTGCCTACCTTGCTTCTGCCGCACCTGTGTATTTTGAGCATAGCCGCTAACGCCGCGCTGTCGAGCAAGCCCTGTGGCGTGGTGCCGTGGGAAGGGTCTGTCGGAGTGTGAGGGTCACCCCACCAGGAGTCCCCCGGAGCTGGGGCCGTGGGCCAGGCCTGCCGCTGGGGGAGGGCAGGGCTTCTCCTGAGCAGATCCAGCTGTGGAGCGGGGCCGCTCCCCTCTTTGAAACTGTGCTAACAACTCTGCTTGAACTCAGAGGCAAAACTTAACATGGGGATATGTGTCTGTGCCAGCTTGTGAAAATGGGGGATTGTATGAGGAGTCAAGGGGGCATAGACATCTTTATGTGTACAAGCCATTGCTCAGATCTGTTAAACCCACTCAGGAGCTGTTAAACATCTCTTACTTCTTCTGCAGGCTACGCTTGATGCTTTGAAATTCCAGAAGAATGGGATAGACTCACAGTTTTTCTTGCTTTTATTGGGGATACGTGAGTGCTATCTATTCAGAAAGTTGAGCTGCAGCAGTCAAGTGTGCGAGCTTTTCCTTTTAGTGCATAGTCATTCCTGGCACACGTGTGAAATGACATGACAATGCATAGTAATTGTGTTATTGTAGCTGAGATGCTCTGAGGATATTTCTTTTCTTAATGCATATGCAAATTAGATAGAAGCCATATTAATCATTGTATAACTGTGTAACCATGTCACCAGAGCCTTTTTCGGTGGTTGAAATGATTGCCTGTAACAGTACCTTCTGCTGTTAGAAATACAAATATACAGATAAAAAATTATTTTGATCTTAACACAGGTTTAAAGGCATCCTAAAGTCATTCTGAACCGGACACCATACAATCTGTAGCACTGCCTGTTATATAATAACTGGGTGGAAAATAACTGTTTTTTACTATGTGGCAGGCATCACCTGTCTGCAAAGATGCTGCAAGACTGGAGAAACTGATAAAGACTTTTTTTCCCCACACACGCTTAATACGCTTTC